ATGCTTATATCTCCCATGAATGCGGGCAAAGAGGAAATTATTCTTCCCATTGTTGATCACGTTTAGATACGAATAACACAACCGATATTTAATACCACCATTTCCTACAACCGTTACACACGCACATACAATGGCCATATTTTGATATAGATTTCTTTATTTAGAAACAAAAAGATTGCGCTTTATCTACGTAAACAATGAACATACCTAACTCAGTGTGTAACGCAATACTCCTTTATAATTATATAGTTAGATAAAATAAATAATATTTCCTGCATAAACGAATTATGAGTATTCATGTATTAATATACTTTGCAAATCAGCATTTTCGCATAAAAGTATGTGTCAAAAATATGAATCAAATCAAAAAGTGGAATATAAACATACAAATATTTAATTTCGTTTACTATACATCGCATGTGTGTTAAAAATTATTGTCTAAAATAATTGAGAACAAATTAAACAAATGCATATTTACATCTAACAATCTAACCTATGCTTTAGAGCAAATGCAAAATCAAACAATTGAATAGATCGAATGAAATTAGACCGTAAACTGTAACAATTCGCATTATAATTAATCATTGTATACATTTACGATACGATTACCGCCACTGCGGTAAAAAATTTATAATACAGGTAGATTCTAGTTAAAAACTACCGAAATGTTGTTAACAATGTATCGTATATTTTTATATATTGCCATATATGTTAAATGTACTTACAATATTTATCAAATTTTGCGATTTTTTCACAAATGTTTAAGTATACATGGTTTTGTGCACAAAGCTACGAAAAATTCATAAGCGAACAGAAGCCACAACTATTGCGAACGAGTGCGGAAAGAACTCGAAAGTACAAGTCTGCACGATAAAACGTGCAAAAGGGTTTCTTTCCTTTCCAGCACAAAGATCATCGTGTTTTATCGTTCGAGCGACACCCTAAGTCCTCGGTCGGTAATCAACGAATACTTCAAAGTCGAAGAGTTCAAAATCATTCATAGATGTCATCAAGCTAATTGCTTTCAGCTGACAATATAATGTCATAATAGACGTCAACAATATAGTCGACTTATGATAAAAAATTAACGAAAAAGAAAAGAAACATTCAAATCCTGTAAAGACTATAAGAGAATGACCTTAAAAAATTGACAAGCGATAACGAAGCAACAGTTAGTTGATAAATAAAATGTTAAGGTTTCTAAGAATCTTAGGACATGCTCGAGACGAAAACAACAAATAATAATATTAGTAACATATAGTAATAATAAGCGTTTATCTTTTTAATTTGCAGCGTTTAATTTTCATAGAATATCACTATCTATAGTTAACAATTTTCTAAAGAAAAGTTTTGCTTACTTATGATTGCTAAAACAGCCGGTTAACACGAAAATGTACAAACATATCTTCGATTAAAAAGATAATTAGTGAATAACAAATGTGTCAACCAATAAACGCAATTATTCGCCATGTTCTAATAATATCTATGTTGTTATGAAATATAACTAGACATACAGAGTGTATCATCTAATACGTCTACTTTATTCGATAAAAGATATTGGTATTCGTTTGATATGATGGTTAAATAAAATAAATGATGCAATTTGCAGGAATGTTTTTAATTAAGAACTAATCACCTATTGCAAGGACATCATTCTCTCTCTCTCTCTCTCTCTCTCTCTCTTTCTCTCTCTCTCTCCAATTAGGTATTAATATAAAAATTTAGCCTTTTTTTATCAACATATGATCGATATAAACAGACGCTAAACCATGTGATAAAAATGGACGTTTAAAACAACGTAAGTTGTTTGAAATTTATATAAATAATGATAAATGAAGACTGATCCAATATCATAGAAGAAGACTACGACGTAGTCACAGGCACGGGCGCCAGGATGGCGCAACAACTTTGACTAAGATCGATAACATGAAAAAGAGATATATCAGTCCTATACCCTACCGTTATCTTCCAACATTTATGACCATCCGTTCCAATATTTTAATAAAATGACTTAAACTGTACTCGTACTAATCCGATCAAACAATCATCTCCATTAGAAAATTTGAAATTTCTTGTCTCGTTTCTTTGCTCAGGAGAGACCTCCTACGAGCGCTCAATCGCTCTTCCACCAAAGAAACCTTACACTAATGACTCAAAGAGTTAAATCTGCTTAGCATGCTACAACGCGTCTTTCTTTATGTATAAATTACTCACTTTCTATAAGTTACTCCTTAGGCAAGTTTTCAAATCCTCTCTGTATTTATTAGCTTTAAATGCTAACATTTTTATTCATTATTTTTCTCATTTTACACGGTAATATAATTGTAGTTTTTCTAAATAGATATCAACGATGAAATTAGCATCGATTAAATACACGGAGTCTTATCTTTGAAGACGCGCAAAAATGTCGTCAATTAGATATTTTGTATTCTAAGGAAAATAAGGGGAATGATGTATCGGTTGTCCGTTATTGTCTTTCACGGCAAATGGATTTAGCTGAAAAGAAGGCCACGACGTAGTAGGCCAACGTGGTATTGATTTCGGTCGGTCGGAGTTCTCTGCATCCGCGCTTTCAGTGTCATTTGAGTACGACGTAGAATGTAGATATATTAGAAAGGTACATCGGAAAGGAATTAAACCACGTTTCTTGTTCGATCTAATTTCAAATGAAAATGATGGGAAGGTAGGCGGAAAATACGAATGACAAGCAAGTTTTTTTCATATTGTCAGTAAATAAGTTCGATATAATCGCAATATTTCGTCGTAGTTAATATTAATCTATTACTGAATAGAGAAAAAAGAAAAAGAAGAAATGTAACGTAATCGAAAACCGATACTTGTATCAAGTATACGTCGCAAGCTATTTTTTTACCACATACCATTCTGTATTTGTGTAGGTTTGCGTGGACATACCATGTACGCATATGGCCATAGGAAAATACATAGTACATATATAGGTATATGAAAAGCTTTGAAATTTGAAAATCCCGCTTTATCTGTAAATCGGTAATCGACATTTAGACCAAACTTACCAGCATTTGTCAATTAACTGCTATTCGATTAATTTCAACAGGTAAATAATTCACTATAAATTGTAAATGATCCGTATGATTCAGCATGAATGAACAGTTAGTTATCCGACAATTCTAAGAAGATGAATGGTTAGAAAACGATTTGAAACGAATGAAATGCTGCGCTCGTGCTGTGATTTTCAAGTTTTAAACGGCTACATAACTGGTCGGTAACCGGTCGATGGCAAGACCTTACACCGACATCTGTATGGAGGGTAGAAAACCGATACAGAAACATGGCTAAGACTGGTTTCCCTTGAAAAAGCGAATCGGTCTCGGCAGACGGCAGTAGGGAATTTCCCCAGCCAGATAATATTGTCCTTGTTGAGAATCCAAGATCTTGTACCAAGGTCGAGTCGATTTCGCGCGATTAAGTTGTTCCCTGTTGCCTTGTTGAACCATTTGATCGAATTATCAGTACAGCAGAATTTTCTATGCTCGCGATCAAAATCGTTATATACGTGAAATCCCCTGATAAGATCGCGGGATTATTTTGACGCCAATTTCACAATAGACGTTAGTCGTGTCAATTATATTTATTGCATCTAAGTCCAAACTGCGTTAGGTTGTTCACGATTGACAGTCATGCTAGTTCTTAGTCCGGCTGGTAGCGGAAATGGTCGACACATCAAAATAAAAAGAAGATTAAAAAGGAAACACCCAACAGATCTCACAAAGGACAAACACTCACCTCACTAAAGAAATAAATCAATCAAATTCGAAGATGGTATCTCACTGGGGGCAGCCATCCACATGTTATATTATTATACTACTAAGCTATAATATTTTACCAAATCTCCTACTGGACAAATTGTAAAATGTAAATAAATAAATAAAAAAAAAAATGCTAGTTCTTAGTCATTAAAAACCATTTCATTTCTAGCGAAGCGTGATACGCAAATGTACGACCAAATTTTTTTTTTCTTTTTTTTAATTATGTAATTCGTCCAGCTGGACATTTGGTAAATTTTTCTAGCTTAATTGCTAACGAACATGTGGATGGCTACCCCAGCGTGATACCATCTTCGAGTGCACGACCAAATTTGTCGTCCCTCGAGGGATATCGTTATCATCTGTTCAAATCCGAATCGATCGTTTAAAGTTTCCACCAAAATATTTCTGGTATTCCTTTTTTAATAGTTATGTATTGTAGAATTCAATAATTTTAAAAGATCCGATTTAGATTACGTTATCGAAATCCACTAAATCTACCAGATTCTTTAAAAAGGTATTAATAATAATCCAGTTAACAGGAAGCGTATTTGTGCGCGGCGATAGAGCTGTCAAATAGCAACGTGTTGCGTTACGTACGAATTCAATCAGGGCACGTAATAAAAAGCAGATGGAATTGTCACGTCAACTACGCACGTCTATATCATTAGCAACTACACGAGTAAAGAACTTATACATGTACAGTCACGATGAAGAATCATAATGATGATATTTTCGATTCACTGCTTGTTATCTAAATACGGCTATTTCTAAATCTGCTGAATTATTTAGCAAACTAGTGCAAATTGCAATAAAGGATACGTTTTAAAACTGTTTTCCAGCGCATACAGTTTAGAGACGTCTCTGAGCATGCACTGTATCGATATACTGACCGCCAGTCGCAAAGATTTAAAATTTGCGGACGGATTGTCTTAATCCAAATTGAAATTATTAATACGATTAATTGCAGAAAAAGCAGTCCAAATTTAGCAGCACGCACGACGAAGATAAAAGCTGCATTTATCATGTTTGTTAATTACATCTGCGTATGTATAACGTATACGTAGTTACGTATGAAGTTGGATTAGGATAGGTCAAAGAGAACCAACATAATGTATAAATTATACAAGAAAGTTAAGTGGACAGCTGTCTTGATAACTGACATGCGTCATAAAGAATAGCCGATTCCTCGTTCCAACGATAAATTAATCTTTAATCTTCATAAAAATGAATTTTAATGACTTCCAATACACTTTTTTAATATGGAGGGTTATATTGCCAGTAAAAGACTGCAAATATTTTGCATTACATTAACAACTGATGTAATTGATTAGCGGCGTAATCATGTCCGAATCGAGGCGAGAAACGGCGATGTAAGAAAGAAAATCGATCTTTCATGGGACGGAATCGCTGTAGCTACGTAAGTACGTGAATGTTGCCAGTGTTTAATCACAAGGATAAATGATAAGGAACTGCCGGTGCTATACGCACTAAATCTGTAGCGGAAAGAGGTTGTATGTTAAAACGTTAACGTTGAAAATAAATGAGAAATAACAAACTAAATCTCTGCATCGCTATTTCCTTTAATTTTATTCGAACTGCGCGTTACATCTTGTACTAACAATAAGTCTTGTCTTTCCGCAGAAGTATACGATGTATACAACGAAAGACTTGTTAGAAATTCGGGCAGAATGACAGTACGCACTGATTCGCTTTTAAACTCCTTCTATTCTTTCATCCGTAGCCTGGCTCCTTTATACATCCGCTCGCTCTTACGGTGGGAGGTTTCTAGGTATTACAATGTTCGCCTATAGGTATGCCAATCCTCAGGTTTATCGTGTGTATCACAACTGCATGCTTTGGCAGTGATCGTGACAGCGTGCTTGCAAAAATGTTCACGTGGGTGTCGAGACGGCGCGTCACGGCACCCCTAGGCGCCGCTCGCTGCGACGACCTACGTCGCTATTACGCCGAAAATAACAAGGTAGGCTGGTTGACATATAAGTACAGACGCTATGTCGATCGAACGTACTCACACACAATTCACGTTCACCGTGCGTGAAATCGCGAAACTTCCTCCTTCGAGATTATAATGCAATTAATTCTCAAACGGTAAAATAACCTTTTAACCCTAACGTTACTCGCATCCCTATAGACATACGTTTGTATCCAGTAATTCACAGAAATCTGTGTCAACTTGTTCGAAGTTGAGCACTCTAGCCTGCTACGTGCCAACTTTACTTACCTTTCTGCTAATAATTTTGGCTGTAGGTACGTATATCGTACTTATTAGTACTATATCGTAAATACTAAGATTCATGTGCGATGACTAATTAAACATTGTGGGAATTAAAAAGACAGATGACGCATTGCATAATATTTAATTCGATTTGCTATGAAAAAAGTACATATATATACATTGTGGGAATTAAAAAGATAAATAACAAATTGCGTAACGTTTAATTCGATTTATTATGAAAAAAGTATATATATACATCGAAGCGGTATTTTGTTGATGTATTATCGTGCAGTGACGTTCATCGGTAAACGGTCGTTATTATTAATAACTGAAGGTATTCGTCTGTGTTATTACCAACTTTGTCGATAAATTCAGAAACAAGTCGTGCCGTTTTAGCAGGTACAAATGACACTCCTCGTCGCGATAAATAGCGAAACACCGGGGATGTTTTCCGATAATCTGAAGTACATCGAATATATATGGTTTGATTTAACAATGTTATGAATTGTACGAGGATGACAGATAGCGACGTTCCAATGCGAGAAAAAATTAAAGAAATATTTTTTTTTATTTGGATGTATTTTACAATCAATTGTCATTGAGAATTATGAGTAAATTATTTTAGCGTGGTACTATGACGTGAATAATAAGTGATTATCGTGTGTTTGATTCTAGCTGAATCTAATGCTTAAATCTAGAGGACATGGATAGAAGACTGAAAAGGAGACACCCAGCAGACCTCACAAAGGACACAATCTAACAAATACGAAGATGGTATTCCGCTGGGGGTAGCCACCCACATGATAATCAAACAGCTAAAGAATTCTACCAAATATCCAAATTGGACAAATTGTGAATGTAAAGAATTAAAAAAAAAAAAAAAAATCTACAGGGTAATGTCTTTTTAGCCTGCGGATCTGATCCGTCGTGTAAAGTAATTGAGCAGATACCCACTGTTAAAGAAGAAATATCCAAAAGAGTTAATAACCACCAAAACCCATTAGTTACCCAATTACTTAACACGACGGATCAGATCCGCAGACTAAAAAGACATTACCCTTTAGATTTTAGCATTAGATTCAACTAGAATCAAATATACTATAAACTCTTATAATCCAAGTTACAGTATCACGCCAAAATAATTTACTTATAATTCTCAATAAGAATTGATTGTAAAAAGTCTACCAAATAAAAAAGAAACAAGGGTAATTGAGTAACTAATGGGTTTTGGTGGTTGTTAACTCTTATGTTATATCTATTACTGAATTTGGATATTTCTTAACTGTAGGTATCTTAAGGTCGCGATGTATTGTTCGTTGGTACATACCAAGGTGCATCTATTAAGGATCTTAGAGTTTTTGATTGGAATCGTTGAAGAATTTCTATGTTGGAATTACTCGCTGTTCCCCATAGTTGGATCCCATAGGTCCAAACAGGTTTTAATATGGCTTTATAATTTTTTTTTTATTTGGAAGAATTTTACAATCAATTCTCATTGAGAATTATAAGTAAATTATTCTGGCGTGGTGGCTTTATTTTACTTTGTAGCATTATTTTACTCTGCACGCTTAAGTTAGAACGTCTGCCAATGAGCCAGTAGAATTTTTTACTTTTAATTTAAGTTATTTGGATTTATCTACGATGTGTCGTAAAGAAACAAAAGGTAGCTTGCAGTTCAGTCATGGTATCAACAGTGGAAAGTTTCTTTTCCTTTTTCCAACGTGATCCATAATGGGAAGCTATATTTTCTTTATCGCTGTAAACTATTATAGTGTCGTGGGCAGACTACCTAAGAAAATATTTTTTTTTTTTATTTATTTGTTGAAATTACAATCAATTCTCGCGTTGAGAATTTTCGATGTTTGTTGACTCTTTTGCTATATCTATATAGCTATATTTTGCTATTTCCTCTTTGATAACCTGCCCCCAGGTCACCATTAACAACACAATAATTCCTAGCAAGGACTCAGTCAGATACCTGGGCATGACCCTGGACAGGAGGCTAACTTGGAAAAATCACATCACAGACAAAACAAAGCAACTGAAGGACAAACTCAAGAAATCCAACCTAAGCACACAGAACAAAATTACCCTCTACAACACCGTAATAAAACCTGTCTGGACACTATGGGGAACAGCAAGTAACTCCAACATTGAAATACTTCAACGCTTCCAATCGAAAACGCTAAAATCCATTATAAATGCACCCTGGTATGTCACCAACGAACTAATACATTGCGACCTCAAGATACCCACAGTCAAAGAGGAAATAGCAAAATATAGCGATAGATATAGCAAAAGAGTCAACAAACACCGAAACCCCCTAATCACTGGACTACTTGATACGACAGACCAGATTCGCAGGCTGAAGAGGCACTACCCGCTAGACCTAAACGACAGATTCAACTAGTTATTTAAATTCAGTAACATCTACTTATTTACGATACTTAAGTACAAATTATACTTATCTATAACAAGTATTAATTTATCATAAATAACTAGCCATGTTACTGCGCCACGCCAGAAAAATTACTGAAAATTCTCAACGCGAGAATTGATTGTAATTCTAATAAATAATAAAAAAAAATTTCCTCTTTGACTGTGGGTATCTTGAGGTCGCAATGTATTAGTTCGTTGGTGACATACCAGGGTGCATTTATAATGGATTTTAGCGTTTTCGATTGGAAGCGTTGAAGTATTTCAATGTTGGAGTTACTTGCTGTTCCCCATAGTTGGATTCCGTAGGTCCAGACAGGTTTTATTACGGTTTTATAGAGGGTAATTTTATTTTGTGTAATACAATATAATATACGAAACAGATTGATAGAATGTCCAATCGAAGTATTTACACTATAGGCTCCTTGCTCGATCGAGAAGGATTTCTTTAGACTTAAGCATAAAATCGATACCTGTAAATATATACGCCTACAGCTTACTCCAAACTGACAGACAATTGTTAGCAGCCAATCAGTGGAATAACGTTGTCCATGGAAAATCTGCGGAGAAACGAACGTATGTATGACGTATAGATTGTCTATAGACAATCGCCTATCGGTCTGGATTAGGTTTAAGAGGACCTTGCAACGCTTCGGCAACTTTTTAAAACAGGCTTTTATTTATGTTGCTTCCTTATCTCGTGAATGATTGTACGATTAATCACAAAGCAATTCTTAATCGATCGGATTGGAAATTCGTGCAAATCTATCGTATGACTCGAAAGAACGCGAGGTCTAGGAATCAGTTAATCAGAGAAACGCAAGGTTTAGGAAACAATTATCCAAGCGATATCGCGTTATCTTGCCTTTGTATAACGATCAATTATTTCGAGCGTTCATGCTCACACGTATGTAGATAACGAGTTGAAAAGATTAAGCAGAAGGAAAACCATAAGAAAAAAGCAATTGTTGCCGCGAGTGAAGTTTAAAAAAGTATAATCTTTTTGAGCCGATGACCCGGCTTGATCGCGTGAGCCTTCTCGTGTACGAAGAGAAGTCGATCGCGGTTCATGAATTTCCCAGCCATGTTGCATGTTAACGAATCAACGTGAGAGGAGTTGTGTTCTAAGAATAATTCACAACGAGTTAGAAATAGTATCGCCGTACAAACGTATTGATCGGCGACCCTATTCCGTACCAGCCAGAAAGTCCATCGACCTGAATTCTTTTCCGAACCGCGTTCTACCTGTGCTTCTGAACTCGTCAACCGCATTCGGAGTTCAACGAGTTCTTCCACCATGGTCGTTTCGGAACAGCGCGGTGCGACTCGGCGTGCCGTCGATCGTTCTACAAATAGCAAGGTCTCGAGCTTCGTCTCCCTAAATAGATCGCATTTAAAGCAAAGTCGTTTGTATGCAAAGCGACTCGGTTAAATACTGTTGAATCGAGATTGTTCACGCGTCGAACCTACCTTTTCATCAATCAATCGCATCAATAGGATTTCATCAACAGCATGACTGTTCGACTGTTCGCGGAGAGACGCGATTGCGAAGAAGCGCGCCGACGAGAGTCGTAAATTCCCGTTACGATTTGATAATCGACGCCACGAAATGATCGATCCCCTATTTCGGTTAGGATAATAGAGGTGGTTGAATTGATGCTAACACCTGGTTAATAAATTAAAACACGCACTTTATTTCTAACAACTTCGAATACAAGTCTGCGAGTGTATCGCATGTACAAAGATTTGATCGCAAGTTAAAATGTTTTTTTTTTCTAATATTTATTAAAGTTTACAATCAATTCTCGCATTGAGAATTTTCAGTATCTTTTCTGGCGCAGTGACAAGGCTAATTATTTATAATAAGTTAATACTTATTATAGATAAGTATAATTTGTAAGTTAAAATGTTGACGGGCCAGAAAACGTAAAGCAGCTCAAACTTCTGTGACGATGATGCAGCGGAGGAAAACTGGCGATGTGTGTGTCTAAGGATACGAGATAAGCGGACTCGTTGATGACAATGTTTCTTTAGGAAAGTGAGGGCGACGGACATAGCTGCTACCTGATTAAGTTACAAGGTTGGAAGAGGAGGAAAGATACTACTTGCCCCTGAGAGAAGGTTACTAACGGGAGGCATCTACGCGAGAAAAACCAGATTTCCCGTACCTTCACGTTCTAATGCAGTAAAGATATTCAAACATTTGGCGGTCATCTTGCCCAGGGGTTAGAGTCTGCTTTGTGTAGCAAGTCACGGGACGTAACAATGACTCTTCGATCAAGGACAAGGTGCTAACAATCGTCCCATGTACCTGTCCATCCTATACGCGTAAGGTTGCCAGTCGAGAAATCGTTATTTAACCTATGCGAAAAGAAGACTAAAAAGGAAACACCCAACAGATCTCACAAAGGACATAACCTAACATACAAACACTCACCACATTAAAGAAATAAATTTTTATTTATTTTATTTATTAAAATTACAATCAATTCTCGCGTTGAGAATTTTCAGTAATTTTTCTGGCGTGGCGCAGTGACATGTCTGATTATTTATAATAAGTTAATACTTATTATAGATAAGTATAATTTGTAAGTTAAAATGTTGACGGGCCAGAAAACGTAAAGCAGCTCAAACTTCTGTGACGATGATGCAGCGGAGGAAAACTGGCGATGTGTGTGTCTAAGGATACGAGATAAGCGGACTCGTTGATGACAATGTTTCTTTAGGAAAGTGAGGGCGACGGACATAGCTGCTACCTGATTAAGTTACAAGGTTGGAAGAGGAGGAAAGATACTACTTGCCCCTGAGAGAAGGTTACTAACGGGAGGCATCTACGCGAGAAAAACCAGATTTCCCGTACCTTCACGTTCTAATGCAGTAAAGATATTCAAACATTTGGCGGTCATCTTGCCCAGGGGTTAGAGTCTGCTTTGTGTAGCAAGTCACGGGACGTAACAATGACTCTTCGATCAAGGACAAGGTGCTAACAATCGTCCCATGTACCTGTCCATCCTATACGCGTAAATGTTGGAGTTACTTGCTGTTCCCCATAGTTGGATTCCGTAGGTCCAGACAGGTTTTATTACGGTCTTGTAGAGAGTAATTTTATTCTGTATGTTTAGTTTGGAGCGTCGGCCCGTGAGCCAATAGAATTTTTTTAGTTTGTCCTTTAGTTGCTTCGTATTATCTGAGATGATTAAAGAAATAAATCTATCAAATTCGAAGATGGTATCCCACTGGGGGTAGCCATCCACATGTTATATTGCTATATTACTAAGCTATAATATTTTACCAAATGTCCTACTGGACAAATTGTAAAATGTAAATAAATAAATAAATAAATAAATAAATAAAAAACCTATGCGAATGGTAGGAATCGCTTTGATCGGGAATGAAGAAACAGAGAGGGGAGAACGGAATGAAATGTAGTCGGTCGATAGACGTTGGATGCGAGCTTTCTAAGCTGTCCGGCTGAATGAGCCCACAACATGTACATACTTACTTACACTTTGCCAATGAGAATGAGACGAGATAATGCATGGTGGGTGTCATCCGGTGACTACCTACACGCTGCTTAACTTCCTTCCTGCATCTCTGTACTCGACGTTCTTGTCCAAATCCTCTAGTTATTCCTAGATAGAACTGCATTTTCTAAATATGAAAGAAACCGAAACGGAGTTGATCGTGTCATGGGGTAAATTGCAGCCATAAATGGAACAAAAGCATCGAACTACTATGCACGTGATATTGTTTTTCACGTGTTTCGCGCGTAGTTACGCCAAGTATTTTTCTGTTGCACTGGTACAATTTTCGCGTTAGTAAACCAAACAGTGACACACCACCGTACGCGGCGGCTCCTCACGCTGTGGAAATTTCCATTCGTGAAAACCAGTGGCGTAGTCAACCGCTTATTCCGCACTGAAACTCCTTCCACTTGCATTCAACTTCCGTACTCATATTTCGACATATCCAAAATGTTTGGTGTCCAGCCTGCGTATAAATGTCAATGGTAGGCATCTTCGATTCATTTGGGTAGGGTAAATTCGAATTATTCTCTATGTCACCATTATCTATTATTTCAATGATTTTATCGAGAATGATAGCCATAAATCACGCGTTGATAAATTAATGCTTTTTTCATCGCATAGTAAGCTATTTTTTCGTTTCTATATTAGTATGTGGAAGATAACGAGAATATCCATGTATTGCAACATCATGATCCAATGATTCCAACAACTTTGACATATTGGATATGTAAAAATTATCGACTACGGTCGTTTCCATAATAATTATTTTTAGCTTCACTGGCTAAATATTTTTTAACGCCGTTCTTTACTCTTAACCTCGTTGAATTTATTTAGAGATATCAGTTGATCGAAACACGAGTTTCATTTCATACTTACTAGAATTAAGTTGCCTTCAAATTTGAGCATAAATTTCAGTTGCGCAATGTCGATCGTGTGTTATCTCATTTTTAATTTCTGATAATAACAGGCTAAACGGTATAACAATTTTGACAATGCAAATCTCGTTGAAGTTTTCTACGTACGATTCATTGTTATTCATGTGTTACGTCAAAGTAACGATTGCATGCGACTACGATGACGTTAGCTACCGCAGAATAAACTAAAAATACGACTATTTCCTCTAGGCTTTTTCAAATATCACGAAAAGAACGAGTTTGCCGCAATTATCAAAAGAAACTCGTGGAAGTATTCTTACAAGCGGCTCGTGTATGATCGAGTTACATTCACACAGTGTTATTTTAACGCAAAGTATCATTTTAGTTAGATTTTATTTTTGAGAACTCCAAGTATATCTATCTAACGAGCTGACTGCTTGTGCATTGAAATTAAACATAAAACGAACAAAGTATGTACATAGTTATGCTATCATTAACGATATTAATAGCCGCATAAACGAAAAAACTTAGTGTGGAGGTCGATTGCAATCGAAAAATCAACGTACTCACGCGACGTTTATGTAAATGTGTTACAGATACGGCAAAGGTGATTCTATTTAAAGTATAACGAACTCGAAGAACGTCCTTTTGGTACTATTTCAGTTAAGACGATATATCGATTAGTTTACCAACACAATGCATTTAAATACCAACCGGTAATATGAATTTATATTTTTTTTCTTTAGAACGAACGATTTATTTCACAATATACATACTTCAGCCTATTGTGCTATCTACAACAGGCGGTTACGTCGACAATTCCGTCTTCCAAATTTTCCTCGACTATACGTTTAGCTTACCTTATTTTCGATGCTGAAAATCGTTCGACGAAACTTTGATTGCAAATTGGGTTTCGACAAGTTTGTCAAATCAATCTTAAAACTTAATATCGTTCTTATATCTGCCATACTTTTAAGATCGAATGCCCGATGCCTGATACAATCGGTCTGTCGTTCGTCGATCGTATCAATGCGATCGTTTCTATTCTTATCGATATTATTGGTAAATCATACTTGAAAAATTCTATATAATCATGAGTCATAACGATTGCTCATTCGTAACTCGAATATCAAATGCTATTTTGCACGTGTCATCGTCGTATTAAGCAACTAATTGTCGTCATATTGAAATTGTTGCGTGACTCAGTATGAAAAAATTATGCGAGCATCCTAAGAAGCTGTGGGAACTTTCGCTGTCACAGGTTTACCTTTGGAAAAAAATACTTCAGGAAATTAAGAAATACTCTGTTAATACTTTGAAACTCATTTATTGAACATGACATAAAAATCACGATATATGATAATGATGAACCGAGTCTATTGTAAGCTTTCAAACTTTAGATATATTATTCATCTTGAATGTTCGCCTGTAATATCTTACTCGAATGTCTTAACAAACGCTAACGGACTCGTTATTTTATACATGTATAATTATATTCATGGAATGTGCACCCGTCATATTTCGCTTTCTTTTCCATTTTGTACGTCCATGTACGTATATACGTCCAGAAAAGAAAAATAGGACAAGAAAAAAAAAAAGATTGATAACAGGTTTTTGACAAAAAATTCCAAACGTTCGCTTAGTATCGTATATTTTGTTATTTCTTCTTTTTTCAATCTTGAAATATTGAGAAATTAAGAAGCTCGATAATGTACCCGACATTTCATTCTTGGTGAAGTTACGTTGAAGAACGAGCGTTACGGGCTTTTCAATAACAAAAGCTGCTATTTTATAAAAAGAAAAAAAAATAAATACACAACATAAGACCGAAAAATAGCGAGAGAATGATAGAGGTTTGTGGTGGCAAAGAACGAACAGGTTGCCGCGGAAAAAGCAACAGCCGCTCGTGAAGTCTATCATGTATGTATATAGATGTTATATTTTTATGCGATCCTGGGGATTTTGGCAGTGACATTCAATCGTCATGGTTGAGGAGAAAGTCATTGAGGGATCAACGATACTATGTATATCGACGAATAATGTCGTTTTGAATCGCCAAAGCGACAATTCTACTTCTACACTGCAAAAATATTAGACAAAATATGAAACGGCGAGCATATTCTACTTATAATACAAAAGCGTTATTCAGGCCGTTTTATTATACGTAAAGTATACCTAAGTAAATACGTAAAAGGTACGTAATAGGTTTCAACATAAAGCTCACCATGCATATCTCTAAACGCGATAGAAATTATTTTCTGATATTTATGTTCGATTCTATCGCTCAATCCAAGCCGAAACTATCAATTTGTACTTTCGTATGAAATTGCTCCTGACCGTTTCCCCATGACTCGTACCTCCATCTCCTCAGCCACGCGCTAAAAATCAGCTCAAAATGTCCCGAGTGAGGTATAACGAATAACCATAACGTAGTTGCAATAGTTATACAAAAAATAGTCAAATTGTCGAATAATGTATATGTATATATGCACACAACAGGCGCGCGACGAGCGCGTGTGCGTGTGTCGATGTATACGTATGTACATATTCAAATATATATAAATATATTTGTATATATTCATATAGCTTTATAGTTGCGCGAACATTGTGACCGTAGAATGAAAGTGGATCGAGCTGGAACAGATAAACTATAAGATACGTACAGCTAAGTGTTTTATAAATCGAATTAAAAAGTAATAAACGTTATGTAAATATTTCGAATCAAGGGGAAAAATATTATATACAAAAAGATAGGAGGTCAAGGCTTCCAATCCACGTTTACTCCGCGGTCCGAGGCCGCCGTAATAAATAGATCGTATTATCTCGTCAATCTCTAAATTCTAATAACACCATTGTTCCTAATCAGTACAAATCAATCAACGAAATGATGGAACGAAATTTCGCCAAGGTTCGTGCAACGTTCTCGATCCTTCGCGCGTCCCAACACTTCGTCAAGCACCACGTTTTAACATCAGATCGGTAATTCTATTGTTTTTCTGTTCTCTAAAGCAGTCTTACATATAACGGCAATTTTTCTGAATTAGTCCTTTCATTCTTATCGGATCTGATCTTTTCCTTCGTTCGTTCGTTCTTTCTTTCCTCGTTCATCCCGTATATTCACTGAAAAGAAAAAGGAACAAAAAAAAAGAAAAGAAAAAAAGGAAAGGAAACAAAGAGAAGAAAAACTGTCAGACAATCGTCTTGAAAATTAGGCGACGTGCTTCTCATATCAAATTTGATAATCTTTTAGAATTTAATGTTGAACGATATCTATTTAGAAAATAAATTATCCCCAGAACATGTTCGATCGAAAATTAAGGAAAAATCGTTCGACCCTTTGTTCTCGTTCGGATCAACATTGTTATTGAACGAGGAAAGAACTCGTCGCTGTTGCTATCAAAGGACGCGCATTGATTGACGGAGAATCGAAGCGTTCGTACGAATTTTCGTAGTAACAATAACATTTCCCCAACTTCTACCTCCATTTTTTTATTTTTTTGTTTTTCTTTTATATGATTGTTGCAAAATAATTCTACCTTATAGCTTACGGTATCACAGAGTTACACGCGGTATCATATAATTGCTCCCACTTCGTAATTTCGCAAAACGATAAGGAAAGCGCGTGATCATCTTATTCGAAAAATTGAAAATTGCGGTAATATATAGATGGACGCAGACGATGTCACCGTATTACGCATATAAAAAACAAACTTCTGTTTATCTTACACGTAATTAAATACTGTTCAATTATTATGAAACGGAACGATACGTTGCTGTAACTTTGCTCGAATTATATCGTCGTTAAAGTTCCGTATGAACTTTAATTTTTTTAAGAAACAGCAGGACGTTTCAATCATACCGTTCTTTGGTTTTCAATACCTTCCATCGTGTATGAGACGATCGAATAAAAGTAAAGAGGAGAAGGATAGGAAAAAACGTGAATTTAGTATTTGTAGAATTGCACATAAAAGTATCTCTAGGATTTCATTCGATGTCTTGGAAAGACGTCGTTCTGCGTCCAATTTTCGAGGACACTTTCGTTTCTATATTCCAGGATTATTCGTATCAAACAGATTGCTCAACATATAGCAAGTAACAGGCTCGACCATTTATCTCGACGCAACTAATATATCATTATACTATAAAGAAATTTAACAAACGCTTCGTAACGACTAATCAAAACAGCAAAATCCAGTACCTCGGGCGCGGGACAAAGGAAAACCGCTATGATACACTTGGATACATACTGCGAGGATTCTTTAAAAAATCTATCCTTTTTGCGATATAAACTAGCAAATAAGTCTCGTATGTATTGCAAATACGTTCACCTCGAAACGATACCACAGGGAGTTCAACCTCAAAAAATCAGAAACGGATCAATCGGGAAGAAAGTTTGAAATAAGCAATTTTTGTGCGGGACCAACGTTTTATAAATAAAAAAAAATATATATATTCGTGCATCGTTTCGAAGACAAAGTATTTGCTTGCGTGTTCGTTAAGTTTTATGCGAGACGAAGTTTAACGAAAGCGTCAAATAAATATTTACGCATATAAGTACGCATATATGTGTATATATATATACACATATACGATTAAAATAAGTAAGTCTTTTCTTAGGCTCCGTTCTCTCACTAGCTCACCTATATTGTACGTGTATATAATGCGCATTCGTATACCCTTTCGCAGTTTTCGCATATACGCACGCACATTCCCTTTGGAGGCAGCAAGTAATCTTAACGATGAAAACAAGCGTTTCCGGTTGTCGTATGCGAGAACCTCTACGGGAACTCCTTTGACTCGGACGCGACTTACGCCACGTCATAAGTCAGCCCATTTTTCTGCTTGCCCTAATATTTTAAAAACATATTTACCACAGTTACCATTTGATTGGCTAGACGTTACACGAATGATAAAAGGAAAGTAAGAATCTTGTAAATAAATTCCAAAGAAGTGGGAAGAAGCTCGAACGAAATACAACTTTGTTTTAGCTACATCTTTAATAGAAAGGGGGGAAGACAAAAAGAGAAAGAAAGAAAATAGAGGAAGGAGAAAGAGAGAGAGAGAGAGAGAGAGAGAGAGAAGGAACAGAGCGTGAACAATTTTGGTCATTTTAGTAAGAAGCGAAGGTCGTGTAACGCTTGAGCTGTTTCTGAGATTTTATACGCGCAATAATATATGTACAATGAAGGAACTAGCTTTTTAGGTCTGGACATTAAGATCCTATACCGACCCCGACTGGCCACGAACTATGCAATTATACGCGTACGAAACGAACGCGAGATGAACGCGAAATGAACGCGAAATGAATGCGAAATAAACGCAGTCCAACGTACGCGCCAACGTAGATAACGTAGATAACGACGAATTCCATTGTGATTATGTACCTCTTTCACTGGATCCTTCTTGTTGCTCGTTCCCGGTGCTTGTGGTCCTTCGCTCCTTCTTATTAGATGCCACTGTTGCAAGAATCGATCATCATCGTCGTCACTGGCAATCGAATCGCGGGAAACTTTTTCTTCTTACGGCTCGTTCCATTCTATTCCCGTTGCTGTCGTTGTCACTTCTGTTGCTGTCGTGCTGTTTTACCACGCCGAAGGCGGCGGATCCGGACAGGATCGTACCACCCCCTCGTGGATCGTTGCGGACGTGGTAACGGGTGCAGAGGTACGTCGGATCTCGATCGGTTTCGAGCCGGAAATCGGTGGCCGGCCCAAAACCGCCTGACTGTTTCACGACAAGTTTCGCTGATCTTCAGCGGTATCGTCGGCCTTTTTCAACGACCTTTTCAACTTGTCCACCAGCCGATTGTGGAACTTGTTCAGAGAGTTAGAGCTGCCGGTTTTCGGCGGAGACGAACCGGTACTCTTGCTCGGACTTTGCAACGAGCTTTGAGACGCCCTCGAGGACGTTCTCGAGAAATGCCGAGAAGTAAGGGGCACGGAACGGTGAGCCGGCGATGTCAGAAAGTCTGACCCTGGCGAGGTAGACAACGATGGACCCTCGGATTTTGAACATTCCGAAACCTGCGAACAAAACGAATCGTTTCTTAATTCTTTACTTAAGTTCTCACGGAAATCGTTAAAAATGTATCGATCGGATGATATCGATTCTAAACGCGCGCCAACTTCATTGCATAGCTGCTACTTTCACTTTCTATCTGGTCCTATCTTCTGCGGTCGACACGGTTCACAACATTCTTATATTCTACACTATACTTTGCAATTTCACGCTACGCGTATACGCTTTCGAATTTTCCGAAACAAAAACGACGGAGAAATTCACCCAATAATCTTCTCGAAAGCGCGTCTTTCCTGATGGAAAGTCCTCGTTGATAATCTCGCATTCGAAAAGTTCCAGGATGAAAACTAGACCGAGAAACTCGAAGAGCAGGTACGAGGAGTCGACGATATCGGTAGGAATACGGCAGGGGTAAGCACAAGTAGATACTTGGGCAGATAGATAGAATCGTAGAGGCAACGCGTACCCGACTGTCGCCCATACTGGATATACGGCAAACGATCGACGTATTGTTTCTGCCGTGTACTTCGCGGAGCGAATTTAGCATTGCATTGCGTTGCAGACAAGGCCGAATGCCCTCGATGCAACGTTACGATGGAACAGTGGTTCGCAATCAAGCACGCCGCATCGAGTAATCGATGTTGCACGTGCGCACGTGCGCCACAACCTCGGACACGACGAATTTCTCGCCGCAGATTCACGTACTTTGGTTACGCGCGATTACGTAATTTCTTATCACGAGAGCAATTGGCTCGATTCTTGGCTTCGCGCGTGGCTCTACGTCCGATACGAATTAGCATCCGATCAAACGGTCCTTGCTATATCGCAAAGACGCTGACACATGGCCAGCTGAGTTTCGGTGATTCGAGTATTTCGAAAGCTTTACGAAATTCACTACAACGTCGCGTAAATCGAAAGTTAACACGGGTCGTTGAAACTCGGCTAAATGCTCGATCGAGTCCAACATCCATACACACGTAATTATCGGTTAACGCGTTCACAGCCCCGTGCGATTTATAGCAAGGTCTCACGCTTACACTTCTCGAACTTTGCCCGACCACAACGACTACGACGATATCGCCGCGATTCAAAACGACACGCATCGGCGAAACACGAATGTGTTTTTAAACGAAAAGATTTGGTTCGAAGGAATGCTAATCGATGGTGTAAAATTTAGAAGGATATAAAGCGATAAAGATAAGACCGGCGATGAAACTTGAGAAGAATTTCGCCTTTGACGCCGGAAGTCTAGCTAAATAGCCTTATCGATGATAGATCGAGTTGTGATTTCGCGATTCGATCAAAGCGATACTATCGAAAAGATTATCGCACGCGATGCGTTACGAAATTAGGCACAAACGTTGCGCAACCATGTATCACGCCGTAGCTAAGATATGCCTACGAATGTCGCGTCGCGAACGCGCGGAAAGAACTATTTCCTCGCGAAAAAGCGCACGAGCAAGCGTGTTTTCCGTTCTGTTTTCTTCGTCAGCATTACCAGAATGCCGATAATGCGACTACCTCGCGCACGAAGTGTAAATAGGTATGTGCCACAATAAACGCCGGAATGTTTCGTATCCGTCGTCGAGTCACTTTCGTCGCGCGTAATCGACCATTCGCTGCCTGACCGTGAAATTATTTCCGACCGCCGCTGTACGTATTTACGTATCTATATGACACGCTTGAGAAATATTCGTGATCGAAATTCGTGCGATCTATGAAATGCATTTCGGATACGGCACGCGTTAACAACGTGCTTGAGTTAACAACGATATTCTCGAGTCTTTGAATATCGTTTCCACGCGATATCGTTATCTGAAAAAGCGCGACGAATGCTCGAAACTTACCGTAACGATATGGAAAATCGAATACACATCGTGCGAACAAAATTTCGCGCCAACTTCGAGTTACCGGAACGCGTGACTCGATCCGTTTGTATCGATTCTGTAGGTTCGGTTTCAGGCGGATTTGTAACAGATAAACCACTCACCTTTCTACTGCGACAGGCCTGAGGATTGGAACACTCGGAAGATCGACGACTGCGGTTGGTCTTGTAAATGTCCCACTCGTTTTTCATAACGGGCATCATAAACGCCATCTCGATAGCCGGCACTCGTGACCGAGCACACACTCTCTTTCTTTCTATTCCGCGGAAAGTTGTCTTCCTTTTCTTTCACCTAGCACTATACCTAGCAGTTATCTTTCTCGTTCCGTTTTTCTGGAAAGTTCAAACCAGACGGTTCCTGTCGTCGCTAAACGTCGATAGTTTTTCCAAGAAATTCCGTTGTACCACTGCGTGCTCTCCCTTCACCAGATTGACAAGACAGTTTCTCTTTGTAGCGGGAATTGACGAGTCAGTTTTCGGAACGCGTGTGCGAAACGTTTGTCGCGATTCGAATCCGCTTTTTCGTTTAGGTTTTTCGTCTCAAAATCGAGTCGATCCTAAATTCGCGCAGTGTTCGTTTCGATCAGATTCTCTGACTCCAATAGAACGATTAGACGCCGTCGTCGACGACAACAATGACTCGTCACTGAGGTTGTTGTGGTTGCTAGTACCGCTGCCAACTGATTCTCCCAATCGCTGTTGCTACTATTTCGACTGGAAAACTGCATACACGTCGTACGCTTTCACGGATAGCTGGTCGTTTTTTATGGTAGTTCGGCGTGCTGCCTTTTCAACAACGTTCTCGATCACGCGCGTCCGGTCGATGCGGTAGTCTGCTACGGAATGAGCACGCTGCTGCTCGTGTGGGTAGGTGTAAAAGGTTGCCATGGTGGGGATCAGCGGCCGACCCTATTGGTCCATTCTGAGGCGGGACTCCTACGTCACAGGTTACCATTGATTTTCCAATGTTGATACACACGGCAGCATGACGTCCCGGATTGATTTTCTGGCAGGGGTTCCTGCTGGATCGCACGTATACGTTGCCCCGATCCCGGTATATATCTACGTCAACGCGTAGGAATGTCTCCTTCCCTCCGAAAAGGATTCGCTTCGACCTAACGAGCGCCCAGCTTCCTCTCTGGCCTGTCCTCGACCCTTTCGCTTCTTCCTGCAAAAATCTGTTTTCTTCCGCTCTCTCAAGGTCGCCTTACGGCAAATCGCATCGTGTTCAAACGCAGATACCAAATACGTATGTACACGTGCGATGCACGTTCATCCATTGCGATCCGTTTCTCATTCGCGATATAATTAGGAATTGCCAGCTTCTATTTTTGAGCTATTATATCCTTCGAAATTTTTCATTCGATACGGAATACTACTGGCCGTTAGCGCTGGCGCTGACGCTGGCGCTCGGAAACCTTGAGACGTAATTTCATCCTAGTAGCGAAATGACGTACAACAAACCGCTAATAATCGTTGAACGTTAATAATTGGCTGGCACATAGTGATGCAATATTAAAATAAATTGCGCGGTACGCAATAGGTATATATTAGAAAACCAATTCTACCCAATTTGCGATCATTTTTTTACCGATCGATCGATGTGCGATGACACATGACAAATGTACCACCCGATCAAACCAGAAAAATGTATTCTACGCTGGTAAATTGCATGTAAAATTGAGAGAAATACGTTTTATATTTTGATCAACGGTTAGTATCGAGTGCACGTATCTACAGTCGGTATCGTATCATCCGTCGGTCACTAGATGTAACAGTAAAAATAATGGTAACTTATCGCAAGAGTATTATATATGTGTTACAATACAAGCTTTTCTAATGTTTAGCATTATTTCCATGGTTGCGAACTTTTATGGAACTAAAAAACAATAGAATAAAGGAAATATAAACTGTAATAATAGAAATATGGTAGATCTAGATATCGCATATACAGTCAATAATTTGCAAACGCGATCTCGTTTGTCAGCAATTTGATCTAACGTGGTACGTAACGACCTGAATTTCTACATTTTTGAAACTACTCCAACAGTTATAAATAATACGGAGACATAAAATGATCATGCATTATCATTTTTGTAAAAAGTAAATTTATTTCGTTCGCAAAGGTACAGGGATCTTGGTTTAAATAAACGCAATTCGTTTGTTTCGTGCTGTTGTTGAGTGACCGAAAGAAAGTATAGGTACGCGATATATTCGATAACTATGCTGCTTCCGTTTGCCTCTATAAAAGACAACAGGATTGTCTTTGTTCTAACATTTCGTAAATTCTTCTTCTTTCCTTAACTATAAGTAGATAGTACGTAGCTTCGTGTTCGTACATCGGACAATAAAGGAACTGTAAGACCTGGCTTATTGTTAGTTTCAACAGAATCGTCGATACTATTACAACGATACTACGGTAAAAAACACTGTTTTTTTTTTATCATTCCTTGGAAATTCATTAAAGTAACATCATCAAGAAAACTTTCGCGAATAGATACTTTGAGGACTTGCGTAATCTTGTACTTGTAGTGTTAGTATCGCCGCGATCAGACCTTCGGAAGCTCTCACACAAGTGGTATCGTTTTCCCACTCGGTATTCAGAAAGTAAGCAATTTCTATATTATCATATTACGATAAAATAGTTATGTTTTTTTCTTTCCTTCGTACGCGTATTATAAAAGAAGCGTTTACCAACAGATACGTTTCGTACGGCGTGTTATAATCGCTTTAATCGCCAAACTGTTACGAACTTGTTTTTTTTCAACGCTATACTTCTTCGACGTGGCTAAATGATATTTTATTATATTGCACGATCGCAATATCGTTACTCCGTAAAATCGCTACATTCTTTTCTTTCAATGAAAATACATCTTCGAATATCATCTTATGATTTAACGACAGTGATATCAAGATACCATCTTCTGTCATTTCCCGTGGATCTTTCATAAAACATAAAAACTAGGGGGCGTATCTTTGGCACGGTTAAGAGGTATTTGCAATTGTTTTCCGAAACACCTTTCCGTTCGCATAGTTCGGTGATCTATAAGCTAATACGCAAGAAGCACCAAATTACAAAAACTTGAGACGGATTCGTTTAGGGCCACCTGGCTCTTCCTCTATACGCGTAATATTCCAGTCTCTCTCTGTGCAAATATATTTATCTCGTCTACGTTTAGTGTACAGTTACGACTTACACGCTAGCAAATACTATATTAATATCTCTTTTTTGGCACAGACTTGACAATCACACCGATCACAAACATCAAAAGTACTGTAACTTTGAATAAATAACTTTGCGTTTCTTAGATACCGTTGAATATTTAACAGGATAATTTTCGAATATCCAATCGTTTAATGCCAAGTCGGATGATTCCAAGTCATTGTTAGTTTAAGTACTTGAGCTATTTATACACACGATGCGCATAAAAATAATATATTTTCGTATTGAACACTCTTTAAAATGGCATTATTTCCTTAATAATTTACTGTGACAAATGAATTTCATATTTAATTCTCGAATCATACCGATGGATAACCGTTCTGTTTCTCAGTTTCCTTATTTCTGTTAAATGCCCCGTGTACCTGTAACCCTCTGCACTCCGAATTTTATTTCACTTTCGTTAGCAGCAGTTGGTAACGCTTTTAAGCGCTTTATTTGAAATTTACTTTAACTAAAAAAATAAGACAATTTAAATAAACGAAGGAAGAAACAAATTCACTTAAATACCACTTTTATTCACACTATTGCTATATTTTGTAATTTTTAAGTATATAATATATCTTGAAACAATTTCCAGGAAGCAAACCTGGTTTTCATTATCACGTTTCATTAAAGAAACGTGGACACGAAAGAATGTCCAGTGGAACTCGACAAAGTAGCTTCTCAGATAAAAACTGATATCGAGTCACACTCGATATAGGAGTGCAGAGGGTTAATTAATAATTTTACGAAAAATTTCTTCCTCTTTTCCTCCGCAATATTGCAATCTCAATGAGGCGTAAAACAATTACAAGTAGCATTGCACGGCAGAACTTACAAAATAACGCTTTAAGGCATAACGTTACGAGTCACGTGTTAACAGGACTGTTAACGAGAAAATATTGCATTTGGGTAACTTGTACATGTTGCACCTTAAAAAAATATCTCAAACAATTCGAATAAAAATATTGCAACGATATGTCTCCTTTAAACTAAGAAATAGTCGAACAAACGAACGAACGATTTCATAAACAAAACAGATAAATAAACGATATATCGGGTTGGCAACTAAGTGATTGCGGATTTTGTCGATATCGGCTAATGACAGAATCCGCAATCACTTAGTTGCCAACCCGATACGAATAAATAAATAAATAAATAATCGAATAATCAGACTATCGCGTGAAATATAAAAAGACAAGCAAGCGTATAGATTATAGGGAGAGTACTATTTCAATTTCGCAATTCAAACGTGCAATTCGAATAGAGGTGGATCCTCTGATGATCCCGCAGGTGATGTCGATGCTTGAATCGCTTCTTACACCAGGCGCATTGAAATCTTGGCCCAACGCCGCATTCCAGCCGTAAATGCCTGGTTAGGTTGCACTTGTGGGAATAAGTACGACCGCATTTCGGACACAAAAACGGTGGCCCATCTTCCAAATCCTTCAGCATCTTCCAAACTGCAACATTTTGTTAAGCACACGATGAAACGTTTGTCACGCATTTGATACAACGATTGGCAAGACGTGGCGGAAGTAGAGAAACAAGCGTTTTACGGCAAAATAATATTAATGTCGGGAAAGAATACAACGAATTCGAGGACCTTACATCGAGCCATGCTATGGCAAAATAAACGTGTTCCTTTCCTCTCGATCGCAACAAAATTTAGATAATCGTGTGAAGATGATTGGCACACTCGCGCACAATTACCTGTACGTTCGTTCTAAACAATATTCTCGATCAATCGCAAACAACAGTTTTCGCATGCAACTATCGACATTTCTATGGAAGAACAATTTCATCGTGAAATACATCCGTTTCTCTGACTATTATACACGGTTTCTCAACGGTGTTAACATTTATTAAATGAACATTTAGAACGATGAGAATCGTCACGGTCTGCTATTCGTCTTCATAATACGAAAATTAATGACGCAATAAGACATACGTAACAAGAGATCGATAATAAATCGATCAGAGATACGATAACTTTTCGTAAATACAAAATATTTATTTTCTTTATCGTACAATTGTGAGTATTCATCGATGCCCATAGTTATCTATGTATGTAAGTACATGCGTGTATACTCGAACAAACTTCTCCCTTGTTTCCTTTGATATATTTTATATATACATATATATGTGTGTATATATATATATATGTATATATACAATAATGGTTTATCGATTTCATTTCGACTCATCTTACCTATATTTCATCTTTGTCTCGTTTACTCTTTACTTTATCGTCCTGTCCGTACTACGTTTACCACGTAGAGCAGATATTATAATTTGATGGAATTCAACAGAAAAATGGCAACAAGTCAGTCTACTCTGGTCAGTCGAATATTAATACAATGGTGAGTAACCTTCGAGATCACCGTTGAATTCAAACTATACATATTTAACGTTTCTGTAAATTAATGGAAATGTACTTAAGGTTTCTGATGAGTTCTCATATGAAGAAGCAAGTTGTGCTTGTGTTTCGACTTCTTGTGACATATGGGACACTCGAATTGCGGCTCGACACCGCACTCGAATCTAATGTGCCTGTTCAAGGAGTGAGGCCTCGTGTAAGCGTTTCCACAACGCGAGCAAGAGTAGCTGCAAGTATCGCGAACATTCGCGTGATTTCCTGCCAACGATGGCTCGTCTAATCCATTCTCCGACATCTTCCCCGACGCAACAACGTCGTTCAGGCAATTTCCAGAACGTTGTATCTTGCTGGAATACTCGTTACTGTCGGAACCTGGCTTCTCCGTCACTTGACTTTCCGCCATCAGACGAAGATACAAGCTCTGGTATCGATAATACCATTCGATCGCTGCACTTGGTGAGTACTTGCGTTCTAGAAAATAGATAACAGAATCAATATCGTTCTGCGTTGTCTGCTATTCGTTTCGTCGACGATTCTCTTACATCGATAGTCGTTCGAAAGAGATGAAACGTGAATTACGCGAAAGTGGATTTACACTGAAAGCACGAATCGTGGTACGTTCAACCGATCACCGTGAAAACGATTACCCGCGGCTTTAAATCACCAGCTCTATCCTGTCGTTTCCAGTTATCAAGTCTGCGATCAAATTTTCGAAACTCCTGAACGTAAGACGCGTTCCGAGTGCTATTTAGACATGCACACTCAACGAGACATCGAGATCGCTTACGCCCTTGTATTTCTGTTTGATGTCCAAATATCGTCGAACGCGGCTTATCTTCAAGATTCTGTTACGTTTGCTGACGTTTTGGATGGCGCGTGTTATTAAGCAAATGTAAAACCCGTCTCATAAAATTAGTTACGAATATGAAGTTGATTTTCCTGGCAATTGACACAGACACATATACGAGGTTTAGGTTCACCGCAAACAAGGCTTCGTGTTATGATTAAGTAGCACGTTAAGTTTTTATACAAGCAGCCACACTTTACTTGCAACATTTATAAACTTCACCGAGATTTTCCACCTTTCTCTTTTCTTCCTTCTAATTCGCTTTATTTCACGAAAACGGTGAGCATGGTCGCCGATTCGGATACAACGTTGAACAAGCGACTCGACGACAACAGGCCGATAGGAAAGAGAGGAACAGCAACTTGCAATTTATTCGCATTGTTATACTTGAAATTGATTAAGACGGTATTATCGATGTCATTAAAGAATATAATGACAATTGTAATTCACCATATTTATTCATCCTTATCACGGCTTCCTAGTATTTATACGTTCAGGTATAGCAATTTATCGTTACGTACTTACACGCTATTAAGTAGAAACCGATTATGACTTAGTTCAGTTTTAGTCGACGAGATCTGATCGATCTGTGTCTGTGAAAGAAACCGGCGATAAGAAAAGTAATATTTTTAAAGCGGTACAACGAACGTATTCTAAAGCAGTCTTGTTGCGATTAACATAGTTTCATCGGCTTGAGATACTATCCCCGTCGATATAAAAAGACAATTTGAGAATCGCATCGAGTATTTTCGCAATAGTATATTCTCGAGGAACATTTTTGTTTCGCCGGTTAAAATATCGATATAAAAATATTCTAAAAATCATTCGTGGAACAAAGATCACTAAAGTTTATGCGGTTTAATGGGGCTTCGGTATCTTGTGTCGCCCCTGATAATGTTCGTTTAACTTATACTGGTGATAGAATTTTTTCGGACACAATTTGCAAGAAAACTTTTTTTCTTTGTTACCACACTCAACCCTCTGATGCCTTAATAAACTGTCTCTCCACTTGTACCTCTTGCCACAACCGAAACAAATATTCATCAAGTTGCCATCATTGCGCAAATATTTCATTTCATCTTTTTGCGGTAAATTCATGCTGGCCGCGTAAGGTTGAAACCCCGTTGACAAACCGTACGGCAGTTGCAACGAGAAGTAGCCATCTGAAATTCAAGAAACAAATAAACCGTTTAGACAGCATTGCCGAATTGTTACACGAGAGTGAATAATAGTGAAAGAATCTTAGAAGCGTAATTCGAGCACTTTTTCAACCTGTTCAAAGTTCTTACGATCAACCATGTCGATAATACTAGACGCTACGGAATTGTCAAACGATATCGATCGATACGCGCGGTGCAAGCTGAACGACGCGATTCTATAGTTTTTCGTCGATCTTACAATCGGTTCGTTAAAATGCCGCTTGAAAAATTCTGTACTAAACGAAGCGTTGAACAGGAGCAATAACATAAGATAAAACATTGAAACAACTTTATTCAACGAAAGTGAAATGCAACAGATCGTACGTAGGTACAATAATCATCGATCGATCGTTCGAAGAGGGAGCATTCGAATGGCAAATAGGTAGAAAGAACGGAAAGAATTCCAAAAAACCAATTCCAATTGCAATTCCAATTTGTAGAGTTCGCGGCTACAATATTACACAGGCTGGTGATTTTCTTAAGGGGGTATTCTGGTCTAGAAATTTGAAAAAATCGAAAATCTTTTTCTCATATTTCCAAAGTTTAGACATTCGAGAATATGCCCTTAAAAGGATTTTTCAAAATTTCAATTGTTTTATGAGTTACAGCCATTTTTCTGACGCAGCATCTGCTTAAACGCGTTTTTCTCGAAACTACTTTTTTTCGAGTTGGCGTGCACGATATCTCAAGTTCTAACGAACCGATTCATTTTAAATTTGGTCTAAATATTCCTTATATACTCCTCTATCGTCCGGACCACGCTCAGCTCAAAATCTTTAATATTACTATTTTTTAAACGTTCGGAATTGTGAAAAAAACGTGCGAAATAAGAAATTTTTTTTCAAACGGCCGTCATTTTGTGAGAAAATGTTGTATCGACTTTTCCAAGGTTCAGACGATAGCGGCATCCATACTAATTAAGAATCCGTTCGCATTTTTTGTTTCGGACGACCAGAAGGGTTGATATCATGCACGCCACGACACCCCATTTTTTTGGCAGCACCCACTTTGCCAGCTCGTAACTTTTTAAATATTGAGTTTTTTTTCAGTGAATTTTTTACGTAATCTCGAAATATCAATAAACAAATGCTAAAAAGAAGGATAGCAAAAATACTTTTTGTTTCGCTTGTACAGAGCTTCAAAAATCGCCCGAAACTCATGCCTCTAGACCAGAATACCCCCTTAAGTCGCTACTCTCTATTTGTGTTCTCGTACAGACATCTATATACTCCCATTGCTTGACTTGAAAAGCGGCAAGTGTACGAACGAGTCTAGTCCCTCCGTTACGTAAACCTACATGGCAAGCCATTTATATTTTCGCGTTTACAAATGCCAGTTGGCGTCAACTCCAGAATTTAGTAATTAACGTTTATTCGACGAAACTTCATCCGACGTAGCTTTGCGACGAATTTTTCCAAATAGTTGAGAAGAACATTCGCATCACACGCGTGTAATTTGTCGACAGTCGTTATGGCACACGTTAAATTACTGTGGTTCGCGCGCACATATAGTTGTGCGTGTAACCATGTGTCAGTGGAATAACTTTATCAAGTTCCATGTAACGTGGCAGACACGAAATGAAAACATTATTGACGATATAAAAATGTTTATAGACACGCGCGATATATTTGGCTGCTGGTCAAATCGCTCGATGGAAAAAGATTCGAATGCAAAAAGAGAAACTTAGCACCTGGCGGATTTATAGGTCGTGGTAAGCATCGACGTGATTCCGTAGTTCGTATCGGTACTTGAACTTTTTGTCGCATAGATGACAGGAAAATTTCTTCTCCTTGTTCCCACAGTCGACTCTCTGATGTCTCCTCAAGCTATCCTGCCATTTGTATCTTTTTCCACAATGAAGGCACACGAATCGTGGTCCAGGAGCAGTGACGCACGAGTTGGATTCGTAACGTGGATGCATACCGCTCGCGAGACTCGTCGATCCTCCGATTTCCGAGATGTACGATTTGTTAAGGAAGTACGAAGGTTCCTCGTCTTCTCCGATGTTACGAGCCTTTCTCTTCAGCACCCATAACGCGCTGTAATCTCTCGTATCTTCGATACCTGCGGGAAAAACGTTCAGTGGCAGCGATCACGTTTCATGCGCGATAATTATTGCGAATCATGTAAACTAAAGGCAATGTAATATACTTTCGAATGTTTCCAGTGTTTGTTCTATGTTTAATTGACGCATAAATATAGATACAAATACAAATTGTATGGAAATAAACAAGCGTGAACATTTCCGTTAGGTCGCATAAATTTCGCAGAATGTTAATCGAACAAAGTCGTGAGAAACATTTCTCTTTCTCGTTTTGAGAAAAAAAGAGAACAAAAAAGGAAATGTATCGATCAAATGCGATTCGACAGTTTCTTTCGATAACTCAAAATTCCATTTAAAATGGGGAAAATCCACGTTCTCTCGCGCCATCAGAAACGAACAATCACGAAACGACAAAGGTTCCGAATAGTCTCAAAGTGAGAAGAAAATTGTCTGCACGCTTTTTTTTTTTTATTAAACGGTCGGTTTATCGGTAGCTGTAGACGCGTTGTCTTTGTCGCCGCAAACGAGTCTCTGATGCCTCCTCAACGTGTCCAGTCTTTTGTAACCTTTGCCGCACTGATTGCAATAAAACTTTTGTCGATGTAGCCATTCGACTTCCTCTTGCAGCTTCTCCAACGACGCGTCGCATTTGGCTTGGTGCCGTTTAAGACTGTCCATTCGCGTGTACGCTCTGTCGCAACCGTCGCATCGAAATTGTTGATGAGATTTCACGCTTTTCCGGAGCACGCTCGATTCCATGGAATTCAAGATGGACGAGTCACAGAGCAAATAGTTCATCGCTAACTGTCCGTGAAACGAGATCTCACAAACCTCGGCGTCGTCCTCTTGCTCTTTTTCCGAGTAGCTCTCCGACTTCTCACCTGCAAAGAACACCATTTCTTCGTTATAAATGGGAGATCGCAAGTACCTTGTTGCGCTAGTTTTCCTCAAAAAGGGTAGAAGCATGCATGTGTTTCGTTATAGTCAAATTACCTTCCATTCGCCTTGCCTTTCAGCAAAAGCTTGACATACGTGACTATTCGCTGATTATAACGCGAATATCACTAACTTCGTTAGCGATCGGAAAAACGACTATAAACGAGCGTTCTTTACCGAGAGAGAGAGAGAGAGAGAGAGAGAGAGAGAGATGGGAGAGCAGGAGAGAGAAAGAAAGAGAGAGAGAGAGAGAAAGAGAGAGAGAGAGAGAGAGAGAGAGAGAATTCATCGAACAGATGAGCGGAGATTAAAGAGTGTCGTTTGAAAAACGTTTTATTCAATTTGGAACATACCAAGAAACATTAGCTTCATGGACGCGCTTAATTTCGCGGTTATTTACTGTGATACATTTACAGCATCCTCGATATACATATACACACGTACATAGAGCATGAAAGTGAAATTCTTTCTGACAAAAACCATATCACAAAGCAAAATATTACAATTATCGTATTGTGATATTACGCTAATTGCTTCGTCTTCGATGATTATTAGAGTATTTGATACCGTGGATTTTCAACCATTTACACCGATAGGATAGAGTTTTACCACTCTATAGAAAATAAACAGCACTGTTGTGGCGCGATGCAAGAGTATTTTTTCTAAATAGATGAAAATCCAGACTATCATAGTCACGTTCTTTAATGTAAGTTGTCTCGTATTTCTTCCTCTTTCTGTGCAATATTATGTAATATTTTCAACAAGAAATACTTGTAAAGGTAGCGCGACTTCACGGTTTGTATAATATAGAATGTATAACAAGGTACATAACACAGTGGCACTTATTTGAAAAGATGAAAACGTTGAATTGGTACAGAGCGTATATGTTGTTTCCTTTTCTCTTCCCCCCTCAATCTTCTTTATAACGAGCTAATCCATAACTGTGGTAACGATTGATAAAGATAAGAAAGATCGTACGCGTAACATGATCAACGTATAAATTTTATATACTTCGCTTCGAGCGAATCACGAAAGTGGGAAACAGCCAGAAGAAAGAAAAACCAAGGTAAAAATTTGTTAAAGTGGAAACTCAGTATTTTTGATGCACGGCGTTCTCCTATGATGTTTGCGATTTTAAAAAGAGAGTCGAATGCGCCGATTTCACGTGAGAGATCAGCGAGAGCGGCTTCGCGAACTTCTTGCCGCAAAAGCGGCAGTACATTCTGTCTCCTTTTACTCTGCAATAATTCTTCTCGTGTCTTCGAAGACTGTCGAGCCTCGAGAAGCTTTTGCCGCATTCCTCGCAGATCACGCTCTTTGCAGCCTTCTTTCGTTCCGCCAAATCGTAACTGCTGGCAACGAACTCGAACAGTGTCTGCGGCTCCTCGTACTCGTTCTCCTGCTTCACGAACCAATCGCTCAAGTCCGCTCGTTTCCCTGCGAAGAACGAACGGTTCGCGTTAGCAAATATAATTACGTGGGTTTTATCGTTAGTCGGTTGATCGTATGAAACACAGGACAGTACATGCATCGGAAAAGATACAAATTTTCACTACTGCTTCGGTGGCAGTAATCACGTAAATATACTAATTTCATCGTGTTTCCGCGATATTGCGGGAAACGACATGGCATAGAATCGATTTCGACCGATGTGAAACACACCTTTCTCTTTTTTGACGTAGGTCGCTTATTCGTCACTTATTCGTCGCTTATTCGTCGCGTTCATGCCTTATCCCACATTCAAAGAACAGCAGACAGAACGTGTTGTTGCGGAGCCAGATGTGTTTATTGATCGAACGTAACAAAATTGAAAAATATGCTATGCCCGCGTCAGGTAGCTTAATTATCTTTATTCGAGATTCGATTAGAATAAGGCTATAATAAAAGTTTCAAATTTCTACCCACGCAGAACACACTCATAACATTTGACAGCAGTACTTGAACCATTCGTTTGATACATTCGTTTGAGTTTCTCTCTAACCTCCGCGAAGCTCCGGCAAAACGCGTGAAACGCAGAGTTTATTCGTCTTGTTGCTAGTCGATGACAACTGCTTTGTACGAAACGAAGGACGTTCAACGAGCTTTCCTAAAAGCAAATCGTTCGTTGTTTCTAATTAGACATCGATCAAATTCGTCGCAGGGGAAATATAGCTTGATCGAATCGATGACAACGTGTGAAAGCAAAGCTCAAACATAAGCGGAGACAGATTACATTAACATAGAAGATTAGTGGTTATAAAGAAGATCATTCGATAAGGAGCGAAAGCAAATATTGTGCCACCACTTTATAATAAAGCTCTTTTCCATCAGGAGCCCGGAATAATGTCACTGATTTCTTACATGTATGCTATACACTAGTATAGCAATACTGCACTGTTAGTTGATGCGGTACAAATAAATTACAATCGTCGATTATACTCTAGTTACAAGAATAAACACATCGAGTGAAGTTACGCAAAAGTGTAAAAAGATAGATGGATTAAGTGAAAAGAGAAAGGAAGTGATATTACTATATTACTGACTACTAAAATATAAAGCCCACTGTCCCTTCGCTTACTAACTTGGCGAAGTAGCGTAGCATATACGTATAGAGTGTTTGATGCGACTAAGAACGCGGAACGTTCGATGAAGATGATGATATTTGCTCTCGACGGGTTAAAAATGCGTAGGATCGTCGACAAGTTAAGGAGCGGTGTGTTTGGTATTGTAGTGATTTGTCAATTCGTATCTCCGGTAAAACTCCCTTCGACATATTCTGCAGTGATGTTTGGGTAATTTCCCGCATTCGAGTCTTTGATGTCTGCGGAGATTAGCCATCCACGAGTATCCTTTGCCACACTCTCCACACATGTAACGTTGCAAGGAGGTATGCCCGCGAGTCAAGCGTGGTTTAATCGTTTCCGGAATCAGTTTGATATCCTTGGATTCAAAAGCAGCAAACTCGTTCATCAGGTTGGAATCGTCTGGAATACAAGAAACATCGATTACTGCGAATTCGTCGTAACCTATCGAGGAGGATAACGTGGGAGAAAGTGGCAAGAGTCTAGAGAAATTGGACACATCTATATTTGCTGATATTTATACGCACATAATTTACAAGCAATTCAAGTATGAATAATTTTATTGAATCGATGGATTTCACGCAAAATACAGCAAATACATCGCTGTACGAGCGATATACGGGGACGATGTACAATGAAAATGGAAAGAAAAGTAAACTTAAATACAAACTTAAGAGTTACTTCGAACTGAGAGAGAGAGCATCTGTACAGGTAAACTTTTCTAAATCAAGTCTGAATGATGAGCCAGCAAATGTTCTTTCAGTCTGTCGCGCCTGTAAAACTTTCTCGAGCAAAAATGACACTTGTTTCTCGCTTCCTTGTTGCCACATTGCAGCTGATGTCGACGTAAACTGTACATCCAGGTGTACTCTCTGCCGCAAAGCGCACAGGTGAAGAGCTGTTGTGGCTGTAGTTGATGCTGTTGCTGTTGCTGCTGTTGCTGTTGTTGTTGCAGCGGTTGTTTCTTGTTCGGATCGAGCACGGGACACGGATAGTAGTACGCATCGTTGTAGTTCCTTTCTTTCAGCAACAGATCGTCCATGGAACTGCTTCGATAATCGTTCAAAGTGCTCCAGACGCTCTTCGATAGAACACCTGTCGAAGTAACACATTGGTGAACAAGCAGCATTAGATCAAAAGAGGAAGTACCTCGGGACAGAGGAATGGTTTCGCGAAACAGGGTTAGATAAAAGTATGCGGTCAAATTAGGCGAATTCGGACAGATCGAGTAGGTGATCGAAGGAATCGCATTTGATTTGGTGCGGTGAAAGGAACACGAGCTACGAGAATCAATATCATTGTCAGTGACAGAAATGCTGGAAAACGGTGCCGTTCCATTATATGTACGTCAATATAATTATGTTTTAATCGTTCAGATTCGTTTATTTGTCGATACATATAAAACGCTATGGTGAGATATAAAGCATTACGATTGAAACATTTGTTTGGTATCCGTTCCGTTGAAACAAAGTATACGGAATGTAATGGACATGACAGTATTTCCGTACATTGTGCATCTTCAGCGTACACCTCGGTTCTTTCTCATACAATTACATCCCGTTACCTTTCCCGTTACGTATCCAAAATGTTATTTACATGGTGGATTAAATAGCAAATCTATTTTGTATAAAGAAAGATCTCATTCAACACGATTTATTTCGAGTGAAAAGAGAACCATCAAACGATTACGAAATTTTCGATCGGAATCGAATTTAAAATGAATCTAATCATAAGATACATGTATGCGTGTATAAAATTCAAACTAACAACTCAAGATCAAAGGTTTACACGCCTCCCACGTGATGTAATTCACAGAAGGGAAGGATTGTCGTTCGAAAGAAAAGGATAGAGCTGCAAAGATTAAAGACGAACGCTTTTAGATATTCGTAGAAAAGATTTGTTTAGCGCATTGATCGCAATCGATGCGTCGCGACTACTGTGGGAATCGCGGTCGAGCAGCTACTCCCGTTCTTTGGCGAATACCGGCGAGTCACCGGTTTTCTCCACAATGTGTCGCAGTCTTCTTCGGCATCCGACGATGTGCGAATTCAAGACGAATCTGTGCTTGAATCTTCTATCGCATATCGGGCAAACTTCGCAAGGTACAACGCCGCACTCGAGCCGTTTGTGACGACTCAAAGACGTGGTGGCCTTGTAAGTTTTCCCGCACCTGTTGCAAGCGTACTTCGACCCGTTATCCTTTCCATTTTTTCGTCTTCGATTTCTGTTCGGGTTGTAAGGCATGCCCGGGTAACGTACCCACAATGGTTCGCTATCGTCCTGCGGTTGTTGTATATCCTGCGATAACAGCATTGTCGCCAAAAGCCCTGAAACGAAATGATTTATTCGTTAGATGTCAAGCTTAGGCGTCCTTATCCGTTATAGTTTCGTCCTTAGCGAGATGAGCAAGAAAAAATATTTTCCCTTGATTCGAGAATTAAACGAGCTTTAAGTGTGCCATGTACCTGGGAAGTTGGATTTTTCACCACGGGTGTTTGTGGTCGGTGCAGCTTTGGATGTAAGGAGAACGATCAAATGAGTCGGGGGAAGAAGGACATGATAAAGAAGAGCGGTAATGTCCTTAAAAAAGCAAGCAAAAGAATAAACGTGTTATTTAAAGTTGAGAAGGTAATACGTAAAAGAACATGGTATCTTGCATCCGTAAAAAGTCTTTTTACATAATACTAATTGTAAGCAAGGGAAACGCGATCGTTATGTAGAGGAAAACATGTATTTATTTAACTGTGTAAAAACTATACAACGCCGCAGCTCTGTTGTCGCTTTCGCGTTACGATTCCTTCGTAACGTGTCCATTGGGTCTTCTTGCCTTGCTTCAAAATTTTATCGTCGCTTTGCAGAAGTTAGCTGTCGAATTATAGTTTTCACAGGCTTAAATTTTATTTATTCGCTTCTCCGTGTTTTCTGTTAGTACGACGAATGTAATATACAAGGCAGCGTTTTATATCGTTCCGTAGTATTCCCGCTTTCTTCTACACGAAGCCAAATGATGCGTTAGCTTGAACCTATGAGTGAACTTTTTCCCACAAATTTGACAGCTTTGTCTTGGCTCGACTCCGCATTCGAGCCTTTGATGCCTTCGTAGCGAAGTTTCCAGTTGATAACCCTTTCCACACCTGGTGCACTTGTGAATCACCGGTCGCCTCTTATATCGTAGATTTTCGATGTTCTTCACCGTCAGCCTTGGTACTGGAAAATAGAGAAAAGACGAAACGGTTGTCAGTAAGAGGAGAACGCGTTTCATTCGATATTTATACGCGAAAAAAAAGGAAAGAGGATCGTTACACGTCCTACGAGCGTAGTTATGTAATATATGTTAGGTTCACCGTTTAGTACGTGAATTCTAATATCGTAGAATGGAAACAAAGGCGAACGACAGCAGTGACAAGGAGGGGCACAGCGCAAGAACGAAAAAGAAAATTTGAATAATTTACTTACGAGAAACCGCGTTTTCTGGCGCAAGCCAAAATACTTTGTGCGTATACACGTGCAGCGTATACTTGAAATTTGGCCGAATTTTCCTCTCAGGAAGAGAAGAGAGGTAACACATTCCATTTCTTTCGTTTAATCGTATAATACTTACGAGACACGGGGGAAACGCGCGAGGATTTCGTTTACGAATGTTCGTTTCCTTGCTTCGCTAGTTTCCTTCGATTACCTTACGAATTTAATGAGAAGCAACCTCTTATATACACACAAACTACTCGTGGAACTTCGTTTGCAACGCTTAACATTTATTTCATGAAATAAAATTATCAAGATTTGATAATAAGTAAATTTCGTAACAACACACGTTCACAGTATATTAGAATCGTGTGCTGTGGTTGTTACTTCTCCGATTTGTTGCATTCGTATTAATCATCAGTGACTAGCTAGATTCAAGCTTGTTTCGTAGGTCATATATTAAGATAATGTATAAGTCTGGCATGTGACTGCCAACGATGTTTGTGCTTGAACTTCCGGCCGCAAATAGGACATTCAAAGGTAGGATCCTTGCCGCACTCAACTCGCAGATGCTTCTTCAACGAGTCTCGCCAAAGGTATCGCTTGCCGCACTGGAAGCACCACCACAATTTCTTCGCTGCAAAGAAAAATTCAGAAATTACTTGAACGGCCGTGCATAGAAATCTTTCTGGCAGAAACACGCCACGTTTCGCATAAAACAATTAAAAGCTATCGGTAACACAAACTGATGGCTTTCATGTAATCTGTGATCCGTCGGTGACGAAATTTCGGCAGCCGAATAAGTGAAAAATGCGATCGCCTGTGACAATGAGCGTTTCATTAACAGACAAGGAACAAGATTACAAAAAGATACGAAACTTTTCGGATACGTTCCTGTCTTTCATTCGTTTTAACACAATATGCGAAAAGAGGAGTCGCACTTATAGGTATTATGCGGATTTATTATCGTCGATAGTTACTGCTGCTGCATTATCTTCCGAGAAAACAGAAGAATCGGATAATCGTTGAGGATCGTTCGTTATAAATTAATATGATGCATGGATTTCGCGTGAGATTGCCATCGATGTTTATGCTTGAACTTCCTGCCACAAATTGGACACTTGAAAGTAGGTTCTTTGCCACATTCCACTCGGATATGATTCTTCAAGGAACCGCGCCATTGATAACGTTTGCCACATTGAAAGCAGATCCACCCCATCTGAGAGTGAGCTGCAAAAGAAGAAGCGTAAAGCGGATTGGTTAGTCTTCGATTTTTAAACTTTTGTCAGGAGGTAAATAAGTTCTCGGATTTTACTACTTTCCCCGTTACTTCATCGTTAGTACTAACGAGTAACAATAACGAAACGATTACACCTTAGACAATACAACATTAACACGTTGCTCTTGTACCGTGCTCGAAATTACTCGTCGGATCGTTCGATCGAGCAATTTAATGCAAAACATTTCCTAATCGCTTATCAAACGACGAGGTCTATTCTCAATAACTTTGCGCAGAAATTAGACGTTTCATCGTTAAATTTTTAACGAACCTTTATTCATTTTCTAACAAGTTCGCTTACAATCTGCTGGAAGCCCTCAATTTCCTAAACTTTGTATAGTAGTGGTAAGATTTTCCGATTAATTTGTACAAAATTGATATTCTGAAATATTCCGATGAAAAATATGGAATAGATGATCGAATATCGAAAAAAAGTGAAATAGGGGCAGCATCACGCATCGTCTATAAAATAAAAATGAAATAGGTCAGCATCACACATTGTCCATAAGAAAGAAATGCGTGGTGAGACGTGAGAATTGGACTTCATTTCCAACGCATTATTAAAATCCTTGACTATGCAAATTCGAGGTAAGGTGCGACTGCAATCTGTGCTTGTACTTGAATCTCCTTCCGCAAAGGACGCAGTTGAATTTCGGTTCCTTTCCGCAAAGGCGGAGATGCGTATACATGGAAGATTTTTTCGAGTAGATCTTGCCGCATACTCTGCACGGATATACAGTTTCCCGAGCGGCCAGCTCACCTGGAACACAAACGATTAGTCGTGCGTGGATGCAGAAGGCAAAGTGTTTCGCGTTCACCGACCAGATCGGACAATCCACCCCATTACATTGATTGGCTACGATGCATACCTGATTCCACAAGATTACTTAAATTAACCGCAAGTATCGTCGATTCGTTTATTTCGCGGGAAAACACTCGAAATTCAAGCGTTTGCGTTACATTTGCGTAAAGCGGAAAGGAACATTAACCGGTAACAAATTTTCAGGTAAATTTATGGGATAGAGTCGGAATAAACTTTAGCATAGTGAGCAGGCGACTGTTACAAAAATTTACATCAACATCTATTCTTAGCGAAATATCTTATCTCTGTTTATTGCTCAACTTCCTGTTTCTTTGCGTATTGCTGTAGTTTTGGAACCAGCAGCAAATTGCATAGTTTTCGTTAGCATAGTACACGTATAGCACAGTGGTACATCCAGAAAATCTAGCAAAATACGAAATTTTTCGGATGCTATTAAAATATCATTTTCTACTTGTTTCTTTTTTCTATCAGAGTCTTTTTCTCGTCAGTCTCATTTTCTTCGCGTGCAAATTATCGTGCAAAATGCGTTCGGCACTCAATACGTTGGACAAATCAAATATACGATATTCGATTTTAAAACGCAGCTCGCAGCACAGGCAGATCGACGTAATTGTGGATAGACTTGTGATGCTTCGCGAGATGGTGTTTGTGTTTAAATTTTCTTCCGCAGACTTTGCAAGAGAATCGTGGCTCGATACCGCATTCCATGCGCTTGTGTAAATTCAACGATTCTTTCCATTTGTACGTTTTTCCACAGTTGTTACAGAGATAGCTCGAACGAAACACGAAAATCGGTAAACCTGAAATCACAAAAATATACATTTTTATTAGAACTAAGAATCGACCGCTGTTTGTTCGATCAACACACTTATACACTTTCCATATTTTATGAAAAACTACTCTGTTAACAGCACGTTCAATGCACGTTCAATGAACAACATCTTTTATTATTACATCCAAGGATCGTTTACACATATTTCTATATGTATACCGTATACACATATAATATGACAGAGTGTACCGCTGAAAAATTATCGTGCGACAGATAATGCCGATATCTACTTCGTGATAATTGCGGACGCGATATAGAGCCGATCGACAAGGTTCTATTACTTGAAGATTTTGTATCGTTTCTTTGCTTCCTCATCGGATCACGTTGCCAGTATGGAAATGAAAGGAAAAGAAAAGAAAAACGAAGAAACGCGTCGATTTCATTAGTATCTTTTCAACCAAACGAGTTCCGATTGATCACGATGATGACGTCTCTTTAAATGTTCTTTCAGATGGTGCTTATGCTTGAATCTTCTGCTGCAAAAGATACAGCCAAACTGCGGCTCTTTTCCACATTCCAGTCGACGATGTGTATTGAACGAATCCCTCCACCTGTACGACCTGCCGCATCTGACACAGACGTGCTCCTTGAACAATCCTAAAAATTAACACACCGAATTTGTACTACCATTTCAATCAGTCCTTCGAACGACGTGCTTAACTATTTAGAGGGAACAACTGGGTACTTGATATTCTAAAGTGTATTCGCAGATCTTTCTTGATTGCGGGACGACGCTCGAAACGGTATACAGAGTTGTACGCTAGATCTTAGTACACCTGCGAAACGAGCGAGACATTTGCCTTTCTCTTTTCTTACAGAGAATCCCTTTTAACCGATTATTCCCTTTACATTTTACGCCATAGATCGAAACGATATTCGTCGTGACTAATTCGCTACTAATTCGTATTACGCGTTTCTTTAAATTATTTATTGCGACTAAATTTTACATAACGTACATAAATACAATTTCATGTATAAAACATACATATTTAAACGATGGAAACATGGAGCGTAGTACAAGTTTTGTCTAAAAGAGTTACCGCCATTACGCACGATACGTGTTATCGTAATACGAAGTTAAACGAGCGTAGCTACGGAACAGCTATGTTTTAACATTTTAACCGACACATTTTCATGTCGAAACTTGACAATGCTATTGCGCGGCACCGTTGCTCGAACCGAGGTAAATATTTTTCCCGTTCGAAATAATCCAATGATGAACGTTGATCAAATGTTTCTTTAACATCCATTTGTGGCGAATTTTCGTGCCGCAAACGGGGCAAGAGTGTTGCGGGTCCTTCCCGCATTCTTCTCTTTCATGTCTAACCAACGATTGCATCCATCTGTATTCCTTGCCGCAATTCGAACAGAAGTGTCTCCCAAGTCTCTTGTAATAGTCTGAACCGCAGTAAGCTGAAAGAACAATGCAGTTTCTGTAATTATGTAGGTTCAGGTATACGCCTATTCGAATAGCTTCTTAGCGTTTTCCTATTACGCTTATCCTTACGCTCCTTTGAACGTAAAATGAAAGAAAAGCATCGCCCTAATGTGAAAATGTATCGAGCGCAATAATTCAAAACACTGAAACTTTCGATGAAATCGCTTTATTAAAATTGCGAGCTGTTTTCAATTAATCGGTCCATCACCATTTTTTGCGTTAAAATAGTTGCTTGCTAAAAGCTCAAATATTATTCAGATGTAATCATTAGCAATCAGATTCCGCGTTGCTCCATTCTTGAAACGTTCGGTCCGTGTTAATTCCAGTTGAGGCTTGGTTTTCTGTCTCGGTGTAAGTAGTTCTTGTTTCATTTGGCAGTCGCTGCGTAGTCTTTTCAATCGATTACTCGTACTACAACGTTTCCACGCTATTGTAACAATCGAAACCCTACTATACGTTTCATTTATTTTAAATCGCATATTCTCAGAGTAATAATCGTTCGAGTCTTATAGAACGGTGATAGACGGTGTGTTCTCTAAACAGGTGAATCTGTAACGCGTGGACCACTATACGCAATAGAAATATTTATTTACACTGTGAACGTATGAAAATACGTAAACTGACATTAAGATAGATACAGGTATAAACACGATGATTCGCTCTCTCGGTCCGATGTTAATAAATTAGGAGATTCGTTATTAATTTTTGATAATAAACAGTCGAAGGATTCGAGCTGGAATCACATTTTTGTACAATTCTTTACAACATCAGAGATTCTATAAACGCGATTTCGAACGAATTCCGCGATTCACAAATTTAAGAACCGAAATTCGGAATTGGGAATTTAGAATTCAGAATCTATAGTCGACTGAAGCAATATTATGGAAAAGTGTTCTTTTTATGTTTATCAGTGAGATGTATCGATGATTTGAAATCGACAATGTCAGTCTTATAAACGTGCAAATCGATACTGTGTATGAACTTACAGTATCGAGATACGCTAACGCAGACGATGAAACGCATTCTAATATCTTACTCTTCTTATCAAGTTCGGAATGTTTAAAAAAGCTATCGGAAAGACGCGATATAAAAATGTTTTCTTTTCTTTTTTACCGAAAGGGAGAATATTACCGTCCGAAATATTCCGATCGGTTTGCAAAGGGACGCAGGAGCTCGAGATTCTCGACGTTCATGGTTTCGGAAAGGTTTCCCAATTCTAACCATCTCACTCTGCTTTGTGAACGTTATTTTCGTGACGTAACAAGTAATCTCTGCGTTTGAATTTTCTGCCGCAGAGGGTACACTTGTGCCTAGGTAACTTTCCGCAGCCTTCTCGAAGATGTCTGGTCAAGGAGTCCGTCCATGTGTAACGTTTGCCACACTTGTAACAGGTAAACGGAGTGTCGTAGTTGACACGATTGTGGTCCCTCTTCGAGTCTGAAACAGATCAGAAAGAGAACGAGAGATTAACGAGATTAACGGAGTTTCGTTGGCCGTTCAGTATCCTTTATCTCGCGCGCGAGTCGTTTATTTTATCTCACGTTGGAAGTCGTGTCTCGTTGCAAGAAGCAACGGTATTCCAACGATACGTTCGCCACGAAAAAGGTCATGCTTATCATTCGTCGGCAATCTTCGAGGCGCATTAAGGACCGCGTTAAGAAGCAAACCTGAAGGAGGGATCAAGAAGGAAGCGAACAAAAAAAAAAAAATATTGTATGTACGTACACTCTTCTTTATTGCTCTTCCAGCTCGTGTTACGTATAGATACTACCTGAAAAATAACTGAATAATTTCGGTAAATGACGCAACATTTGTGCGTGTATTAATGACATTAACAACGTTCAAAGGTTATCGACGTTAACGAAAAAAAAATTAATCGTAGAACGGTTCTTTCGATATTCGATTCGCTTCCTGAAGGATCTTTATCACGGAATTTTCTACCACACACCGAGTACGTTTATTTCGCTTCTACGCCGTACTCGCAGTTTTTACACTTTCTACTCTTCGATGCTTGCCGCATTTTTCTCCTAAGTGTCGATGATACGAAGTCTTCCGAGAATAGGTTCTACCGCATACGCTGCATCGGTAGAGAGTGTTGTTCGCCATACCGGCATGCCCTACAGCCGCCACCCAGCCTGAAATCGTAGTTTCAGCTGTTAGATACGTCAACGTTTCCCTCGTATTACCATCTACAACCTTACTACCTTCAAACTCTCCTGTATCTCAACTTGGCTTCAAATATATCTGTACATATATCTACGCTTTTAACGTTTCCCTTATTGACCGCGATTTTGATCGTTTTAACATGTTGTTAAACTAAAACAGCGGAAAGATGATACCTTGCCATGTGTTCCGTCGTTTCATCCACTCGAGAAGCAAAGTGAATGTAATCGAAGTTGAAGCAAGAAGCAGTCACCGGCCAATTAACGGCGATCGTTAAAATTAAAAGCGAATAAAAGTAGTTGGCGATGCATGGAAAATTGTCTTTATTCTGCGGTGCGTGAAGAGTTCAAATAGTCTCGGTTAAACGTCGAATACAGAAAATACTCTACGAGATCAATATACACTGTACACATACATAGAGAGTTATTTTCTTTCGTTATCAGCGAAAACGTGGGAAACGACGAGTAAATATATGTCGGAGATGAAAGGACAGCGAGGAAAACCTCAATATTCTGGTCCAGATTTTTACTATAGCTACACTTAAGCAATAAAAAAAAAAAAAAAAAAGAAATAGTTCTAATGTTCCAACCTGGCTTTATGACGATGGGTTCGGGCTCAAGGTGACATAGTGGATCACTAGACGTAGCCACGATCACGGGAGGGACGTGTTCCTGACAGAAGTATGGAATGATTATATGGCTCTCCTTAAAAACAAAGATTTGAGATGTACGTTATTCCTCGCATTACTACTATATCAATCATTCTTTTGTCAGAAAATCTCAAGACTACGGATTCTTTAATTAGTGAACACTCGGCTCCAAAATCGAAGTAAAATGGAAACGACTCACCCGGATGACTTGATCCATCAGTTGATGCTCCCACTACGTAGAAATCGATTCGACGCTCGTTATTGAAATTATATTCAGGGCACTGCTTTGTAAAGGATTTTCCTCCATAGTCAGATTGACAGCTGCGCATCGTGCAGCGGAATCGGAGCCCGCGGTTTCAGGGTTAAAACGCGGTGGCGAAAAATGGTTAGGTTTCACACTCGATTTTTGCGCTAGCGACTGAATTAACTCGCTCACGATGGTCGTAAGCTCTT